AAAAAAAAATCAGTCGCTTACCTGTGTACTAACAATGAATAATCTGAAAAGAAATTACAAAAACAATTTACAACAGAATCAAAAAGAATTCAGCATGGAGGCAAAAGAGTTCTACAATGAAAACACTGCTGAAGAAAAATTAAAGGCAACAAAAATAAATGCTCATGGGTAGTATGTTAACATTTTTAAATTAGAAATCCAATGTGATCCCTATAAAATCCCAAAGACCTCTTCTGCATAAATAGAAACACATGTCCTAAGAGTCACAGGAATCCTAAATAGTCAAAAACAGAGCTGGAAGACTCCCACACCTGATTCTAAGAGGAGCGGAGACTGTGCGTGGTACAACATGAAGACAGACCAGTGGGACAGAGCAGAGAGCTCACAAGCAGTGCCACACAGGAGCAGTGACCTCTGCCAAGGGTGCGAGAGCACTCCACGGAGAAAGGACAGTCTTTCCCACAAACACCACCAGATCTCCACGAGCAGACAGTGAAGGTCCCGGTCACAGCCTGAACACGAGCCATGACACCTTAGAGGACCTCCTGAGAGGAGAGCGTGCCACAGCCAGGCACAGGGTCCTGCAGTCCTCCTCAGCTCTACTCCAAAGACATCAGCAACACAAGAAAAAAGGGACAACTGAGACTTCACGAAAATGTTCAAATTTTGTATATCAAAAGACACGATCAATAATGCTAGTGACACAGGAGGCCAGGTAGAAGGGCAGAGGGATGGCAAGTTCTAGGCCAGCCTGGGTAACTAACCAACCAAGACCGTCGCAAAAAAATAAAAAGGGCTGGGATGTGGCTCAGTAGTGAGTCACCCCTGGGTTCAATGCCCAGTAATGAGAAAAGAAAAAGAAACTACAAAGATAGGCTAGAGAATGGAAGAAAATACTTGTGTGAATATTATACCTGATATGGAATTAACACCTAGAAAATATGGCAAAAGTAAAAAAAAATTTTAGAAAAGCACAAATAATCTGAATGGGGGGGGGAGTGTTGGGGCTGGGGGTGGTAGAGTCTTGCCTCACATGTGTGAACCACTGGGTTTGATTCTCAGTACCACATAAAAATGAATAAATAAAATAATGATTTTGTGTCCATCAACAACTAAAAAAAAAACTTAAAAACACAAAACCAAACCAACCTTTAAGAGACATTTCTCCAAAAAAAAAAAGGTCTTCAAATGTCCAAGCAGCACATGAAGATGCCCAGATCAAGCAGAAGCACCTCGCACCTTCAGGACGGGTACTACCAGAGAACCTGCTGGGGATGCATGAAGACCCAGAGCTCTGCGCACCCCAGGGTGCAGGTGAAGAGCAGCAGCAGGCAGGTCCCCCAACACTGAAAGCATCATTGCCCACCCATCCAGGTCCTGCACCCAGGCTCCCACCTACAGACAGAGGCCCAGAGAGCCCAACAAGGTCACCCACCCACCCAGGTCCTGCACCCAGGCTCCCACCTACAGACAGAGGCCCAGAGAGCCCNCCTACAGACAGAGGCCCAGAGAGCCCAACAAGGTCACCCACCCACCCAGGTCCTGCACCCAGGCTCCCACCTACAGACAGAGGCCCAGAGAGCCCGAAGCAGGGTCTGGGTGAACACTGTCCATGGAGCTCTCCTGGCAGCAGGAACACGCGTCAGGAACAGAGTCTCGCTGTGGACACCAGCACAATGGTGCTGAGCCTGGAGGGCAGAGGTCCAGGATGTGCCACAACAAAGATGGGCCTCAGGACACCAGTCTATGAAGTTAGCCCCCTGCAAAAAGACCAGCGTGGTGCAAGTCCACCTAGCGAGCATATAGAAAGGAGAACGCTGGCCGCCAGGGCTGGGGAGGGGGAGTCAGTGCTCCACAGACAGAGCTTCCGTCTTTCCAGAGCAAGAGCTGTGGAGACAACGGTGCTGCTCAACACCACTGTGTGGACTCCACAGCTGGTTCTCAGAGTGGTTTGGACAGACACAGGGGTGGCTCTGTGCAGGTCACCTGCCCCCATGTGTGAGGCCCTGGTCTCCTCGCCCAGCACCACCAAAAAACAGAAGTCAAGGCGGCCAGGTACAGCGGCCCACACTGGCTATCCCAGTGACTCAGAAGGAAGAGATGGGAGCATGCAAGTTTGAGGCCAGCCTGGGCAATGTGGAGACTGTTTCAAGACAAAATGTTTTTAAAAATTTAAAAAAAAGGGCTGGGGATGCAGCTCAGAGGCAGAGCATCTCTGGGTTCAATCACCAGAAGTGAAAAAATTAAAAAGTGGTTAAGATACAAAATTTCATGTTCTACTTATTTCACTGCAAGAAAAAAACTTTTTAAAAGTAGATCCATGCAATTGTCTATATTCAAAAACCATAAAAGAAAAAACATATGAGCATTTCATTAAATCAAAAAAATGATAAAAAACTTTCAGAAAATTAAAAAGGAATCTTGATCAACTTGTTGAAGGAATCTACAAAAATCTATAACCAAATGCTTTTCCATACTTGGCATTTCGATTAACATAGACTAGACACCAAAATACAGCAAGAAAAACAAATAAAAGGCATGTAGTTTAGAAAGAAAATACAATAATGTCTTTATTCATAAATAATAAGATCATGCATATAGAAAATCTTAAGGATTCTACCAGAAACTGCTATTAGAACTAATCTGAGACTAATATAAGGTCAACATGAAACATCAACGGTATTGCTAGAGTCTAACAAAAAGTAATTGGGAAAAATGTTAAATTTTTTTACAACTGCATTAAAACGTGTTTTGAAATAACAAAATATATGTGATACTGGGCTGGGGTTGTGGCTCAGTGATAGAGTGCCTGCCTGGCATGTGTGAGGCACTGGGTTTGATCCTCAGCACCACATAAAAGTAAATAAATAAAAATAAAGGTTTTATGTCCATCTACATCTAAGAAAAAAAATTTAAATATAGGCAATATCTATACACTGGAAGCTACCACACAACTGAAATATTCACTGACTGGAACACACGACACTGTCAAGATGCTGATTCCCAGAGCTGGGGACATAGCTCAGTCRGTAGAGGGCTTGCTTCACATGCACAAGGCCCTGGGTTCAATCCCCAGCACCACAGGGGAAAAAAAAAAAAAAAGATGCCAATTCCCCTTAAACTGGTGTAAGGATTTAAGGAAATATCAGCAAATAGCCCCACAGAAATTTTTGTGGAAACGATACACTGATTTTTTATATTTTAAAATACAAAAAAGCTGGAACAACTAAAACACTTCATAAATGAAAAGCACAGTTGGAGGACACAAGCTACACAACGTCTTGAATTTTCATAGCACCACGATAGTGGTGTGGCTTTCATAAATCACAGGAATCCCTTGGTGTCACAGGAATTGGTATGAGTTGGTGATCTTTATGATAAATGCATCAGGACAGCCAGACACCCAAAAACAAGAATGTGAACATTTTGATTCATACCTCTTACTTGTGCTAAAATTACCTCAAAATGAATGCAAAATTGAAAACTAAAAAGTCAATAGAGGGGAAAAGCTTTATGACCTTGTGTTAGGCAAAGACGCCTAAAAAAAAAAAAAAAAAAAAAAAAAAAAAAAAAAAAAAAAAAAAAAAAAAAAAAAAAAAAAAAAAAAAAAGCCAGAGACTGGGAAAAAATATAAATGATAAACCTGAATTTTGTATACAGAATATATAAAGAACTCCCAAAATTCAATTAAAAAAAACAAAAAACAAACTTTTTTAAGGCAAAAGTTTTAACACTTTTCCTAAAAAAAATACACAGATAGAAAATAAGCATATGGAAACATTTTTAACACACTGTCATCAGTGGTTACGGAAATGAAAATTAGAAATGTGGTGAAATTCCCCACATGCCCGCTGCTAGAGATGCAGAGGAAGGAGAATGGGACAAGCACTTTGGAAAACAGCTTGGCAATTTCTTAAAACGTCACACACACCCCTGGAGGTCACTCAGCCTGCCACTCTCCAAGAACCTGCACTCAAGAAGTGAGAACACACACGCACACGGCACCTTCACTGGAGGTAGAGACAGCTGTGGCGCACTCCGGGGACACACTGCTCGGGGACTGCCAGGGTCAGCTGGCACCATCACTGACAAGCAAGAGCCAGACGGTAGAGAGAGAGTAGATATTATCATTCAACTTACATAAAACTCCAGAAAACAAAACCAATCTATGGTGTCAGGGAGTAAATCAGAGGTTCCTGGGTGGTGGGGACACAAAGGGCAGCAGCTGGACATGAGAGTGCTGGACACACCCATAGCATTTGGACATCTTGAACTTCTAAAACTGCACACGCTGAAAGAGGGCAGTTCATTCTATGCTGATTTTTATCTCAATTAAGGTCTTAAAGGTTTTAAATGTAAAGAGTGATAAATCACATTAAAACGTGTTCAGTCAAGTACCCCTCTCTGCGTTGACTCAGCCTTTTTCTTTTGCACTATGAAGAAAATGAAAACCTCAACGTAAAGTGCCTTCCGTTAGGAGCACCGAAATAGCCAGGAGAGTCTGTGATCTGAGATCCTCTGTTTTCTCTGTGATTTCAGTTGGCACTTTGGGGAAAAAACTTGACATGACTTTTTAAAAAAAAAAAAATACTAGAAATAGTTTCAAAAAGAAATGGTCTGTGCGAGGGCCTTCTGAGAGCCGCTGGCAAACAGCACCAGGCTCTGGCCTCGGGTGCTGTGGAAGGAAGCGGCACTCACAGAGGCTGCCGAGACCTGCCCAGTCGATTCACACATGCACGCCCACAGCTGCACACGACCCACTGCAGGTCTCACTCCTCGACATCCAGCCCAAGTTGTGAGGTTTCCCCTCCTCTCTCCTTCTTTCCCATCTCACCAGCTTCACACCAAGCGATGTTTCTGTGGGAACAGTCTCACCCACACTCTCATGAGTGAGAGCTGATGGCTGGCTGGGCTGGCTGGGGAGCACAGGAAAGCTGGGCTCCACACTAGAGTGACTTCCTGTGCTTGTTCTTTCAGAAGGAGAAGATGCATGTGCTCACCATCTGCTGTTTCCAGGATGCTCCCGCCGTACCCCCGAGGAGCAGCCCTCACAGAAGCCACCTGGGGACGTTCACAGTGCGGACGGTCCACGAGGCCTGTGGTGACGTCAGGAGGGGCAGAGTGCAGATCTGCTTTTGAAATGAAGAGGAGGTGGCTGTTAGTTCTGAGGAGCACATACTGCTGATCAACCCACCGTCAGATGCTGCCCCCAGCCAAGCCCACATGGAGCCTGACTGACTCTGCTCCCAGCTGCCCACAGCACAAGACTCTGCGAGTGCCCAGATATCACGAGCAACAGTGGTGGAGGCTCAATTCTCAGAGGGATCCGGACCTCAAACCAAGACTACGGCACAGAGATAGGCACGCAGCAACTGGCCAGTGACCACTGCAACCTAATAGGAGTCAGAATTCTCCCTCGGGGGAGCCAGACAAACCTGAGCTCACGTGTCAAGACAGCATTTCACAATCTGTAACCACACATCTGTAACCTGTTAACCACCAAAAAGTATGCCAGAGTTACAAAGACCCCACCATCACAGGCCTCAAAGGATAAAACTAAAAAATGTCTGCCATGAGCTGGGCATGGTGGCACATGCCTGGGACCCCAACAACCTGAGAAGCCAAGGCAAGAGGACACAAGGCTCCAGCCCAGGAGGCRGGGCGAGATCCCATCTCAAAAATAAAATCACAAATGAAAAACAAGGCTGCAATACCATGTGACCCAAACAGCTGCTTAAAGTAAAAAGGGTCACTGTCACATTTAAAGACTAAGATGGGAAATACAAAATGCTTCAAGCACCCCATCCTTGCCTCTCACCCGCCCGCGTGTATCCCTCAGGGTGCACATGCCACCTCTGTGGAAGGAAAGGCACTGCACCGGAAGGACAACAGACACTGGCCTCCTGCAGCACCGAGCAGCAGACACTATTGCAGAGTCCAGGTCCGCTGACCAGGGCAGTGATGGCCTTGGGCTGGTCTCTAGTCAGTGGCTGACCAGGGCGGCGATGGCCTTGGCCTGGTCTCTGGTCAGTGGCTGTGCTGAGGGTGCTCTCCAGCATTCCAGCTCACTAGCGCTAACCTTCTGCCAGCTACCACTTCCTTATGAGGAAAGACCAGATGGGAGTTGTTTACATGACAGAAATTAGACAGCCAGACACAAACCCACTCTTCCTGCCACAGAATGTGCCATGTGGGAAGACCTACAGCTCTCCTGACATCGTCTCACAGCCCTTCAAAGAGTGTGACACTGAGCAGACAAACATTTTAGAGCATTTAGTAGGTTCTCTGAGATCAAAAAGAAATTTCCTTGCTGTAAAATCTAGCAAAAATATGTGATTTAAAAATACACATGAAAATCAAGGCATATGTGGTAACTTATCCATTAYAGGTAGTTTATAGCCACATAAACTACTCAAAAATGAACTACTATAACAAAAAGTACTGCTTTAAATATGTGTTTACATTTGTTTCAAAATATTTAACATGGGGCTGGGGTTGTGGCTCAGCGGCAGAGCACTCGTCTAGCACGAGCAAGGCCCTGGGTTCGATCCTCAGCACCATGTAAAAATAAATAAATAAAATAAAGGCTCAAAAATATATTTAATGTATTTGATTTTCTTAATCTGAAACTAATGAGGTGCAGTGGCACATGCCTATAATCCCAGGGATTTGGGAGGCTAAGGCAGCAAGATCACAATTTCAAGGCCGGCCTCAGCAATTTAGCAAGGCCTGAAGCAACTTAGTAAAAACCTGTCTCAAAAAAAAATAAAATTAAATTAATAAATAAAAAGGGGCTGGGGATGTAGCTCAGTGTCTGCATCCCTGGGACCAATCCCTGATACCAAGAGGAAAACAACAAACAAACATTTTTTTTAAATTACCTTTACCTAAGATGTTCTCATCAAATTTTTTTACTGAATATACTCTTCCTCTTTCCAGATTTCTCTCCTTAGTTCAAACTAAAGAATATATAGTGTTAAAAATAGAGAAAGGGTGCTTCCGTGACAAGAGGAGGGAAGGCCAAGTGCAGCCTGAACATCAGTAGCCTGGGAGCAGAGCTTCCCTGGATCCTGGAACCCTTGCCTACAGGACTGGTTGGCCCTTCCTAACCCTGAAGTCAAACCTAAAGCGTTCCCKCATGGCACTCAAAGTCTCAGACTTCAGAGCATTTAAGATTTCTATTTTCAGATGACAGAAACTTAACTTGTACTTTGAGATTTAGAATAAAAGTAAAAATGTTCCCAGAAAGCCACAGAGACAACGAGGGCAGGCCGCTCTTCATAGGAGCACCCGCAGCCCCTCTGTGTGTGGGAAGCATGATGTGGGGGCCAGCTGCTCTCTGACTCGCATCACAGTGGCATGACCCTCTTCAGCAGGAATACACAGACTAAGAAGAAATGCAGAGCAACTCTGACCAGCCCCACAGAGGGACACTAAGAACCCCGCCCACCTCCAGTGCAGCCAACTGACCACGCTTACAGGTAAGAGCGTCTCAGCACACAGGCCCAGAACTGCCTGGACCAGACCACCTATCACGGGTGTACCACAGGTGCTCCCGTTTCAGTTTCAGCAGAAAAGCAAAGAAAATGAAGAAGATCAAAACACCTGGGGCCGGAGCTGGGATTGTGGCTCAGCGGTAGAGCGGTCGCCTAGTGTGGGTGGGACCCGGGTTCGAATCTCAGCACCACATAAAAATAAAGGCATTTGTGTCCATCTACACCTAAAAAAATAAATATAAAAAATAAAAGGGCTGGGGATGTGGCTCAAGCGGTAGCGCGCTCGCCTGGCATGCGTGTGGCCCGGGTTCGATCCTCAGCACCACATACCAACAAGAATGTTGTGTCTGCTGAGAACTAGAAAATAAATATTGAAAAATCTCTCTCTCCTCTCTTTAAAAAAAAAAAACTAAAAAAAAAAAAAATTAAAAAAATAAATAAATAAATAAAACCCAAGACCAGCTCTGGCTCCCACTGAGCAGCCAAGTATTGTCAAGAAGTTATAAACACCTCACTTTCTGTCTTCCTTCCTCTAGAAAATGAGGACACCAGGAGTCTCCAGCAATACCGCCTGCCTGTCCAGGCACCAAGCAAGAGTGTTCAGGTCCACATGCCAGCTGCATGCTGCCAGCCACACCACCGTCTTTGTTTAAGCAGGATGTCACTGTTTTCCTCCCTGAGTGGGATCTGAAGTGCGCGACTGGAAGAGATCCAGGCATTTTCACGATCAGCTTTGACTGGCACCTGGATTTCAGCTGAGGGGCGCCCGGAGAAAGAAAGGCCGTCATAGCCACAGCCCTGGCCCCTGCCTCAGGACCTCACCTGCTCATACAGGCCATGCGGAAAGGCAGCCAGCCCAATGGGGCTGTGACAACCACAGCAGGCAGGTGACACCGAGCAGGGGTGGGGGTGGAGGATGCCCACAGGCCACAAGAATCGGGCTGCCAGCTCCCAGAGCACAGAACTACTTCAGCGACCGAGGACACCTCTCAGGTGAGAAGAGGTGGGTTTCCACGGGAAAACACTGAGCAGCCAGGCCTACTGTCTGGAAGCCAAACTGGCCAGGAACCGTCCCGCTCCTGTCAGGGTCATCGTTGCAAGCCCCACACCAGGTGGCGTTTCAGGCAGACAGGCACCTGACCTCTGGCTGCAGGAGCCCGGCTGTCTGTGGAAGGAGCCACGGCCCCACTGCCCGCCACCTGCGGGCCAGGGGAGCGCCTCCATCCTGGGCGCGCCTGACCCTGCCCTGCTGCGGCCATGGCCACTGCAGCTGGTTACTGACCTATGTGGGCGTGGGCTGCAAGGTCTGAGAGCGCGGCGGCGGGTCTGCCTCCCGGGTGAGATGAGGTGGAGGATGCGGAAGATGAGGTGGAGGAGCCCTGAATGACCCGGTCGAGCCAGGGCTCTGCTCCGGGGTGACTCTGGAGCACAGTGGAGCTGAGCTGCCCAGGCCGATGCACAGAACCCTCATCTTCTGAAGCGGACGATGTGTCTGCGGTGAAAACAACCACGACAGGCATGACGCAGGGTGGGTGAGAGGGTGGCTTCCCACGGGCCAGCCCAGAGGGTGCCGGGCACCCGGGCCGCTCCTCCTAAGGGCATGAGGAGGCTGAGGGAAGCGCTCCACGAGTCCCACTCCTAGAGGCCCTGGCCACTGGAGCACACTGGGGTGAAATGGGCCTCTCTGCCTGGGCACGTCACCGCTGCCCGCCCACATGGCCACACTCCAGGGCAAGGCGGGCCAGCCTGCAAAGCCACAGCACTGGGGTGGCCTGGGGCTACACCTGTCCACAGGTGTCCTTGCAGGCAGATCACATGAAGTAGCTCTAGAAAGAGCTCGGTCAGTGAATTAACTGTGGACAGCAGTCTGTCGGGTCAGCACAACCGCACTCACGGGTTCACAGTTGTCAAAAGAGTCTTTGGCAACGACACAGTGTCCACAGCTCTGCCCAGTAGAAATGATCTGACGGCAAATCCTAAGATATTTTCCGACAATAAAGGTTAAACACAGAATCACCACTGAACCACTGAGTCGTCTCGTGATCTGAGGTGTCTGGTTTYTCCCTACGATTCCAGATTCATCAAACCAAACACGAGTGTCTCGAGGGCAGCCACAGAAGCTCCTGAATGGGAAGCCACCAGCCCCTCAAACTTCGGTCAGGGTTAGTGGGAAGTTAGACAAACCCCATCTACAACTTTTAATTTCTCATGGAAACAGCAAGAAAACAACAAAAAATTACTAGAACTGTCCAAATAGTCCTCAGCTGTCCCACTGAAGTCCTGGTAACAACATACCAAATGACAGTGACAAGATGAGAATAATTGAGCTTTTGTAGTTTACTAAGTGCTTATTTAGGGTTCTTCTCTTCACCCCAAATATTAACAGTATCTTGAGTTTTTTAAACAAAAGAAACTAAAATCCACACACAAAGTGCTGCAGAGAGGAAAGGCAACTTTAGATTTTCTTTTCAAGATCTATAGCAGAGAAATTTGAAAGTATTATGTTTATTTTGAAATTATTTTTAGATCTAAAGAACTCAGCTCAAAAATAGAAACTGTCAATGTTAAACTGAATTGTATTAAGTTAGTAGGTATTATGTACAGAGTCTCTTATTTACCATTTCCACTTACGTTGGTTGTACCTGTGGATGTCACTGAGAAAGTTTAAAGATTGCACATTTGAAACAAATGCTCTTTACAAATAGTTAGATTTTTTGAGAGAAAGAGAGAGAGAGAGAATTTTTCAATATTTATTTTTTAGTTCTCGGCGGACACAACATCTTTATTTTATTTTTATGTGGTGCTGAGGATCGAACCCAGCGCCCCACGCATGCCAGGGGAGCGCGTTACCGCTTGAGCCACATCCCCAACCCCATAGATAGTTAGATTTTAAAGGGAAAATGAGATCGTTGTGCTGTGATTTTATCCAGGATGTGAGAAACAAATATTACCCTTGGGCTGGGGTTGTAGCTCAGTGGTAGAGCACTTGCCTAGACCATGCAAGGCCCTGGTTTTGATCCTCAGCACCACATAAAAATAAGTAAATAAAATCAAGATACTGCATCCAGCTACAACTAAAAAATAAAATTTTGAAAAAAAAATATTATCCTTGGAGCTTTTTTCCCTTGCTGCACAAATAACTATGAACCGTTTTAAGTGACTTAAACTATAAACCAAACAGTACAACCAGCTAAGATGACCCTGCACTGCAAGTCATGTGACTAAGATGCTGAAGCTTTAGATGAAAGCTAAAGAAATGTTGGATTCTCATTGTATGACTACAATAATTATAACCTTTCAGAAGATAATCTTCTAACCTGAAAACATCTATGAACTAAATTTTAGAAAATAAGTGTATTAATTAGTTATTTTGAAAGATACCAAATGCAAAAGTTGCAGATCTATATAAGTTAATAAGTTCATATACTCCACATGAATGTAAGTGTGTTATATGGAGATTTGTCTTGTAAACAGTTGAATGGACCTAAGTTTTCTGTATGTGAAAATGTGGTTATTACAGGGATAAGTAAACTTTCAGTTTTTAAATGGGAAAAAAAAACCAACAAAGTGCTGCAGAGTACACGTGTCCCCGTGGGAAGAACAGTGCCATGCACATCACAGACACACCACAGCATGCTTACTAAGTTCCCCAAATCTGTGCTCCAAACAGAGGGACATTCCAGCTCAGGGGATCAAACACCAGGCCTCAGGCCCACTCCCAAGACCACCCATCAATACCTGGGGGGGTGTAGGCGTCCACGGAGGAGTGCGCCAGGACGGAACGTCTCTTCGAGGGCATCGGCATCCTCCTCTCTTTGTACTTGGCCAGGGCTGCTTGCACGGCCTCCGTGTGGACATCTACAGAGAGAGCAATGGCAGAAAGGCTTTGACAAGACAAGACTCTACTTCTGTCCTCATGGCTCACGAAGGGGACAAATCTCTGACTGCCGAACCATCCTACACTTTTTTAAACAGGAACCAGAATAATATATCCATAGTTATAAATTAAAACAACAACCAAAGAAAAATCCCCAAATTTGAAAATAAAGTCAAAGAGATAAGCCTGAGCAAATCTCTGCCGTGAGAACCAGCAGCGAGACTCGCCAGCCTGCTCCTCCAGAAGACCCACTGCAGACACAGAGAACTGCTTAGAAAACATCCAGCTCTCGCACGCTGCAGCCAGTGGTGAGAGAGCTATAACACAGGTGTCTTCTAGGTTGAGGGGCCTTGCACGCCTGCCCAGCTCCTCGGCGGGAGGCCATACAAGTGCAGACCAGAGCGCAGATCAACCTGGAACTGCCACTTTGAAAAGCTCCACCCTGCCAGACAGGCACAAGCCATCAGCACAGTGACTCGGGATCTGGGACAGGAGGGTCACAAGCTCGAGGCCAGCCTGGCAACTTAGCGAAACCCTGTCTCAAAATAAAAATTAAAGGGCTGGGGGTACAGCTCAGAGGTCGAGCATCCTGGGTTCCGTCCCCAGCACCATGAAACAAAACAGAAAGAAGAATGTCTCACCTCTGTGCACTGAAAATGTCTGAAACAGCCACCAGCCCGACAGCCTGGCATCATTTTGAACCCTGCCCCTCACCGCAGGGTCACTGAGAATCATCCGCTCTGGGGCAGGGGAGGAGCACCTCACCCTAACAGACTTGGGCAAGCCACGAAGACCACACCAGGCCGATTCAAGAGTCCCCAGAGGCCAGGATGGGCAGATAATATCACAGATGTGTACTCAGGAAAGGTGAAGAAAGGAGAGGAAAAGAGGAAACAGAAATCTCAGGCAGCCATGGGAGGAGGCCAGTACCCACCCACTGTTTCAAAAACTGGCGATAAATGGAGAGATTCCACATGCACCCTGACCTTCCTGTGCAGCCAGTAACTGAGGGGAAGTGCACGGTCAGAGGCCGTCCAGGCCTGAGTAAGGAGCAACGGGATGCCCTTCATCATTCCACAGCCCTGAGGCATCAGAGCCAGGGACCACGCACAGCTCTGGCTTCTGCCTCACAGTGAAGAACGAGACGGACTCCACAGAGCCACCGCACACACTGCCACACACTGCCAGGCTGCATGGGCTGCCAACTAGGGAAGACCAGAAACTTGCCAACCAGCTGCCACATGCACATCTCACCTGGGTCCTGGATCCAAACAAACTTTAAAAAAGGAAATGAACACTGTCTGAATACTTGATATTAAGGAATTACTGCTGAACACTGCTGAATATTTGACATTAAGGAATAGTGACTATTCATTACTTTGTAATAATGCCATTTCTTTTAGAAATACATATAGCAGTACTCCCTACCTGTGGTTTCACTTTGAATAGTCAACTGTGGTCTAAAAATATTACGTGGAAAAATTCCAGAAATAAAACACTCAATTTTTAAATTGCATGCTCTTCTGTACAGCATCATGAAATCTCACACCACTGTGTTCCAGCTTGCCCAGGTCATGGATCACCCCTCTGTCTAGTGTATCCATGCTGTATATGCTACCACCATAGGTTACATAGTGGCCGCCTCAGTTATCACATGGACTGCTATGGTATCACAGTGCTGGAATACAAGAAACCCTTGTTTTATTTACCAATGGCCCCAGAGTACAAGAGTAGTGATCCTCTAATTCGAATATGCTAAAGAGAAGCTGTAAAGGGTTTCCTATAAGTGAAAAGGTACAAGTTCTTAACAGGAAAAGAAAAAGAATCAGAAAAGATGGTGGAATGAGGTAAACATCATTACCCAAAGTACATGTAGGAAGACGGGAATGGTGTGACTCTACTTTGTGTAGAACCAGAGACATGAAAAATTGTGCTCTATATATGTATTATGAATTGCAATGCATAACAAATTAGAATAAATAAAAGAAAAAGAATCATACACTGAGGTTGTAAGATATATGATGAGAATTAACCTTCCAGTACCCAACCCACTATTTTGAAAACGGGAAAAAAAAATTGAAAGAATCCAGAATGTACTGGAAGGAAAAGAAATTCATGACTATTTTGCCATCATATCTCAAACTTGTTTAAAAGTCATGGCCATGGTATGTGGCAATTAGGGATGAAACAGGCAGGCGTCAGCTGGGTGAGGTGGAGCACAGCTGTCATCCCAGGCACCAGGAGCCYGAGGCAAGATCACAAGTCCAAGGCCAGCCTCAGCAACACAGAGAGGCCCCTAGCAATTTAATGAGATACTGTCTCAAATAAAAAGGGCTAAAACATGGCTCACTGGTAAAGCACCCTCAGATTCAATCTTCAGTACCAAAAAAAAAAAAAAAAAAAAAAAAAAAATAAAAAAGATGTTAAATATGTGTAGAAAAACATGGCACAGGGCTAAGGTTGTGGCTCAGCGGTGGAGCACTCACTTTTCATGTGTGAAGTACTGGATTCAGNAGATGTTAAATATGTGTAGAAAAACATGGCACAGGGCTAAGGTTGTGGCTCAGCGGTGGAGCACTCACTTTTCATGTGTGAAGTACTGGATTCAGTTCTCAGCACCTCATATAAATAAAAAAGGTTCAGCACACACCATAGATTCAGGCATCAACTGGGGGATCCCAATCAGTGCCCTGAGGATCCACAGCTAAGTGGTAAGGAGAAAAAACCTTAAAACTGACACCCATCCTCCTCAAATGATCCCATGAAATACAAAAGGAAGGAACCCTTCCAATTCATTCTTAATTCCTTTTAAGGTTCCAATGATATTCTTCATGGAAACAGAAAAAGCAGTTATGAAATTCATTTGGAAAAATAAGGAGAAATCCTCAGTGAGAAAAGCAAAGCAGGAGGCATCCCAATAGCACGCCCTTAAACTACACCACAGAGCCACAGAAACAGCATGGGGCCGCACCAAGACAGAACGGAGACCAGTGGAATGCAAGGCACTGGACAAGGGGCCATAAGTAGTCACTGGAGAGGAGACAGCCTCTTCAACAAACGGTGCTGGGAAAACTGGAAACCCACATGTAATAAAGTGAAATTAAGCCCCTCGCTCTCACCACGCACAACACTCAACTCAAAGTGGATCGAGGACTCAGGCATTAGACTGGAGACCCTGTGCCTACTAGAAGAAAATGTAAGCCCAACTTCCCAAAATGTCGGCTTAGGAACCGAATCTGTCAACAAGACTCCTAAAGCTCAGAGAAGTAAAACCAAGAATCAATAAATGGGATAGTATCAAACTAAAAAGCTCCTTCACAGCAAAGGAGACAACCAAGACAGTGAAGAAAGAGCCCGCGGAATGGGAGAAAATCCTTGCCACCTGCACCCCAGAAAGAGCATTAGTCTTCAGGATATATATATAAAAACCCTCAAAAAACTCAACTTCAAAAAAAACAAATAACCCAATCGATAAAGGGGCAAAGGCACTGAACAGACACTTCACAGAAGAAATACGGATGGTCAACAAACATGAAAAAATGTCCAACATCTCTAACAACTGGAGAAATGCAAATTAAAACCACACTGAGATTCCATCTCACCCCAGTCAGGATGGCAACAATCAAGAATACAAGTAACAATCAATGTGGTGAGGATGTGGGGAACATGGTTCACTCATACATTGCTGTTGGCACTGCAAATTGGTGCAACCACTCTGGAAAGCAGTATGGAGAGTCCTCAGAAAACTTGGAATGGAACCACCATTTGACCCAGTTATCCCACTCCTCGGTACATACCCAAAGGACTTAAAATCAGCACACTGCAGTGACACAACCACATCAATGTTCACAGCAGCTCAATTCACAATAGCTAAGCTATGGAACCAACCCAGGTGCCCTTCAACAGATGAATGGATAAAGAACATGTGGCACATATACACAATGGAATATTACTCAACCACAAAAGAGAATGAAATCATGGCATTTGCCAGTAAATGATGGAACTGGAGACAATCATGCTAAGTGAAATAAGCCAGTCCTCAAAAACCAAAGGCCGATTGTTCTCTCTGACGCGCAGCTGCCAACACGTAATAAGGGGTGGGGCGGGGAAGAATAGAAGTTCATTGGATTAGACAAAGGGGAATGAAGGGAAGGAAGGAGGGATGGGAATAGGAAAGACAGAGGAATGAACTGGACGTAACTTTCCTACGTCACATATGGATAAATGACCAGTGTGACTCCACATCACGTTCCACCACAAGATTGGGGAGTTATGCTCTATATATGTATGATATGTCAAAATACATTCTATTATCATGTATATCTGAAAAAGAACAAATTTTTAAAAATTAAATAAAAATAAAACTTCTATGAGAAAAAAACGAGAGAGACCTTGAGTCAGGCAAAGATTTCTTAGGAAGAACAAAAGTACTATGCACTGGGAGAAGTGGAACCTTAGGTCTCTTCAAAACCAACAGCACTTTAAGAAAATGCAGAGTCCACTAACTGCAGCCTGGGAAAGGATCGCAAGTCCCACTGACGATAAAGGAGGAGGACAAAGCTCATGAGGGCAACGCAGAGGGCTGGGGTGAGAAAAGGGGGTGCAGGACCATGGTGCGGCTATGTGTGGACACCTGCGCCCGGCTCGTGAGCTCTAGGGTGCGGCCACCTAAGGACTCACTGCAGGGGTTCACCTTTGTCAAACTGGGAGTGTTAGATATTCCTGACAGGACCACTTCTTGCTGGCCATGGTGGCACATGCCTGTTAATTCCAGCTACTCAGGCAGCTGAGGCAGGAGGATCAGAAGTTCAAACCAGCCTAGGCAACTTGGCAAGACCCTGTCTCAAAATAAATCTTGAAAAATATGTATGTGTATAAAGGACTGGTATGTAGCTCAGTAGTAGAACATCCTCTATCAACTTTTTTTTTTTTTTTAACTTCCAGTGCTGATAATTGAACCCAGGGCACTCTACTGAGCTACATCCCAGCCCTTTATGTTTTTATTTTATTTTGAGACAGGGTCTTCCTGTATTGCCCAAACTGGCCTCAGACTCAATCCAGCCTCAGCTGCCCGAGGAGCTGGAATTAGAGGTCTGCACCACTGAACCTGGCTGGAAAAGACTTACAAAAAGAGCTTCATCATGTATAAAAGAGATACAATGACAAGATGAAAACATGGTTGAGCAGGTAGAGTACTCAAAAGTGATTGACATGTAATGTACAATTAAAAACATGAATGTTTCTCAGTGAATCTTCTGATAATCCGAGTAAAATACTTAAGGCAAATTCATTCATAAAAGCACTGCCAAACAGTGGCAGAAATCTAATTAAAAGAGAATCTCCAAGATTAGCAAAGGAGCGTGAGCATGTCTGCCCCTGGTGGTGCTCCTCTGCAAGTGCTGGACTCTGCGCAAGTCAGGAGGCCAGGCTGCTGCTACCCAAAAGCAGGACTTGGTTCCTGAGCAGCAGGACGATGTAAATCGTTGCTCCACATTTTCACCGGTGCACTGTGGTGGCACATATTGGTGGGATCTGCTGCTACAGAAGCTTTTTGCCCACAATGTAACAGTATAATCTGGCTGATGCCCCCCAGTATTTCCCCTCCCCCCTCCCTCCCCCCTTTCCTCTATGATGTCCCTTCAATTTTCATGAGACCAACCTCACCCCTTTCTTTCCCTTTTTCCTCTCTAGCTTCCACCTGTGGAAGAAAACATAGGACACTTGACCATCTGAGTTTGGCTTATCTCGTTTAACATAATGTTCTCAAATTCCATAAATTCTCCCACAAATGACATCATTTCATTTTTCTCTCTGACTGAATAAGACTCCATTGTGTATAAGCCACATTGTCTTTATCCATTTATCCGTCAGTGGACACCAGGCTGGTTCCGTCATCTGGCTGTTGTGAACTGTGCTGCTAGAAACATGGGTGTTCCGTTGTCAGTGCAGCGAGAGGACTGGAATTTTTCAGGGCCAATGCGAGGAGTGTACAGCTGGGTCACAGGCTGGTCCTCTTCCTGGTCTTTGAGGAGAGTTCACACTGCTTTCCACAGTGGTTGGACTAATTAACCATCTCGCCAATGGCGCGAAAGTGGAAAACGAGTTCTCTTAACAGACATTCTGGCAAAGGAACGCTGACCAAAAGCCAGGTGGTCAGAGTGCAGGTCCTGCCTGCCCACCCACTTCCCAGCTGTGACCTACCTGAGCGGAAACGTTCATCCCTGGCGGTGGTGGGCCGAGACCTCTGTGGCTGGAGTACAGCAGTGGTCAGCGAGGGCCCAGGGACTCTGCTCTCTGATTGCAGACATGGGTCTATCCCTAAAACACAGTTTTTGGAAATACCTCGTATAAACAATTTGCTTTTCCAGTTATGAAAAAAATTCCACTTGAAACAGCAAGTATTTGTTACACATGGCCGGACACACACACACACACGCGTTGTGCTCAACCTGGTGTGGTATTTGATCAAAAAGAGCTGCTGACCTGGGATCAGAGTATGATGCAGTGCTCTCTAGGACACTCATACTACCTCTCCCCTCCCCACCCGGCCAGGCCCCACCTCCCACTCTCCATCTGCAAGGGTGACAGTGTCAACTCTCAGGCACCTGGACAGCACAGCACCAGCAGCTCAGGGCAGATGCATGGGCCTTGGATCTCTCAGGCAGCAGTTTATCTACAGAGTAGTCCTGAAAAGCCCACCCCTGCAAGTGACTCTCCTAAATATGCAAGACTTATGTCCCTTGTTCTCAGCACTGTCCCTGGTATCAGAAAATCCCAGGTGAGAAACAGCCACCCACCACCAGGGGCTCAGCAGCCCTTAGCTACAAACAGAGAAAGTGGAACAGAGGAGGAAGAACAGCAGAGCAGCACTGCCAGGTGAGATACCCGGGGACGCAAGGCCAGCACATGGGCCTAGCCTGCCCTTTAACAGGGCCTCCGGCCTGCGGCTCCCACAGCCGGGCTCTGCACAACAGCAGGAAACAGGCCACCCTCTCCACATGCCTCACCAGCCCTGACCACAGCCACTGAGGATGGTGAGCAGGGTACAGGTGCACAGGATCACCCTCCGTCTCATTGCTGATTGAGTCCTGATGGTGGGTGTGACACTTGTTAACAGAGCAAAGCAAAACCAATAGTTGGGATTCAACAAAAATAATGTGTTCAACCTCAGGCCTCTCTTCCAAAATGTCTCATTAACTGAACAGCAGCATCCCGGCCCCCATGGCTCTTGACTAGACTTTGACAAGACGCAGAGTCTACCCCTACTCAAACCTGGTCAGCAGCCACTGTGACAAGCAGAGTGGCAGAAGCAATGTCATGTGACTTCCAAAGCTGGTCATGGGAAGCCACACAGCCCTACCTGGCTCCACCAGGATTCCTGAAGTCCAGCACAGGGAGCCACATGCTGAGGAGCCATGCAGGAGTCTGTGGGCCCAACAGCCCGGAGGGGAGGCCAGGCTCATGCTCCCACTCTGGCTGGGCAGGTGGAGTGAGCACCTCTGAGGTGACTGAGGCAGACCGAGGCTGTAGAGGGGTTGCTCAAACACCAGCTATGGTGTTACATTGGAAATCATGCCAAGCTCCTCAGAGCCCAAGCACACGCGTGTCTACATGTGTGTTCATACCTACATCAACAGAACAGAGCAGGACTCGTGCTGTGAACAGGGGTGGGCTCTGGGATGATGGAGGGACCCAACGTAAAGTACAGACGCTGGACACCCTGGTGCTGATACTCCCAAACACAGCACTTCCAGCCTCCAGGACAGACTCATATATTTAAAAAACATACAAACAAAACCCACTCTGAAACTACAGGATCAAAGAGAAAACCTGTTTTTAATTTTCACAGCCATCAAGAGGTCATCTGCCACAGTGATGTGCACTCCCACAGCGAGGTCTGAAAGTGCATTTCCCCATGTCTTTGACAGCACCAGGCACCATAAGAGGTAAGATGTCTGGCCATTTGATGAGAGAGAGATGGCTCCTTCCATCTGCATGCATGTCCATGTCCACGTCCACTCACGAGGTGGACAAATCTTCATGTTCATTGCCTCCATTTCCTCCACTTTGAATGTCCGTTCACTTTACTTGGCTGATGAGTCCTTCAGAAGGAAAGTGCACCCCCTGGCCTAGCACTCATCCCCAGCCCTTGGGAAGGAGATATTTTTCAAACTTCAAAAGAGAAATACTGTTTGGAAGTTTGCTGGGGCCCCTTCGGCTATGGCTCTCAACCCTTCAGAAGGAAAGTACACCCTCCACGCCCCCGGCCTAGCACTCATCCCCGGCCCTTTACTCTCCTCCTCCAGGCTTCCAGCTTTGCCTGCAAAGACAACCCCACTTGAAGGCTACTCTCACATACTCCTGGTGTTTGCAACTTTCATGGTTAAGAACGTTCAGAGCTTTGATCTTCTGAAGTCCCTGCTCACTGATGGTGTTCTCCAGGGCAGGACACCACTGAGTGACCTTTGCTGGCACACTGCAGACCTCTCGTGCACCCAACCACTGTCCCCACCTGAGGTTACCAGAAAGGCTAGTGTCTCCCAAATCAGGCCTTCCTCACTAGCATTGTTTCAGGAATTGTACTGGCTACTCTCAGAACTCTTCTTTCTCCTTCTGCAGATTATTGCTTCCAATTCCAACTTTAAGAAAAACACCATCCACTGATATTCAGACTGAAAAGCAATACGCCCACACACTGATTTGGAAACTATCAGTTTAACAATACTGTTTTTCCACTAGAAAACTTTCATGTTTCTTCATATGTTAGGGTCTTGGTTACTTCTTCAAAATAGATTTTATAATTCTTTTTTAAAAATATTTTCTTAGTTATATATAGATAGAATATCTTTATTTTATTTATGTTTTAATGTGGTGCTAAGGATCAAACCCAGTGCCTTACATGTGCTAGGTAACTGCTCTACCACTGAGCCACAACCCCAGGCCTATATTTTATGATTCTAATGTAAATTTATTATTTCTTGCAAATCTATTAATAAGACAATTTATTTTGTTGGGAATGAGATATTTTTCAAACTTCAAAAGAGTAATATCGTTTGAGAAAAGCCATTGATTCTTGCATGTCTGCAGCCTCTGTACCTATGAAACTGAAAACTCTAATAATAAGCAGTCACCTGGGTTTCCGAGTTATAAAACGGTCACCTACAAAGGGACAGCAGCCTTCTGCTCCACTGCTGTGGTCACCAAAGCAGCGTGGAGGGAGTGGGCTCTGCGAGTGTGTGTTCACCCCCAGGGTGGGAGCAGCAGGCCACGTGTGCACTCAGTGTGTATCTGCTGAGTTTTGGCAAACAGGCTTTAAGAGGTTTCAAAGTTTCCTTCAATTCCAATTTGACTCTGTTTGGGTTTTTTTGCATGAATACATATGTGAGCATTTAAAGAGTCTCCTCACCACTCTTTTTGTTGATCTATTATAAAATATATCATTCTCAACAGGCAGGACGTGGCACACCTGCAACTTAAGCAGCATGGCACAGGTTGGCAGACACTCACTCCCGGCCTCGTAGAGGACTGGGCCGGCTGGTGCCTGGCCTCCCCTGCTCCCCTACCTTTACCAGCTAGCAAGCATTCCTCAGTAGCTCAGCCTGGCCTGCTTTCCTGACTTGGGCTGGCGATGTCCCTCTGCAGGGGCTTCTCTCATCATGTCACCCTGTGGGTGAGTTCTGCTGGTGGAGGGCAGTGTCCTTGAGGGCACAGAGTGCCTCTGGAAACGTACACTGGAGGGAGCCGCCAGTTGCTCAATCCCACCACAAGTCCCGCCAGATCCTCGCAGCATGGCCATGGGCTGGTCAAGCACTTTGATTCCTCAGGTGCTCCTGGGGTTTGCTTCTGTGAAACACAGGCTCAGGTTTTTGCCCAACCTCACCCAGCAGGATGCTGTTTCGTAGGCACACTGGCCTGCAGTAGACAACGAGTCCCACCGGACAGTGCGTCTCTGCATGATGTTCTGTGCCAGTCCTCACAGTCATCTGCCATGACCATCTCTCACTCTGCAGCCTGTCTTCTTCGTCTCTTGAGGGAGACACTGTGGATTTTAACACAGTCCAACTCTTCCACCTTCCCCTCCTGTGACGTCAGAAGCCCCTCCACCTCCAGCAGCGACGACCTCCTCTAAGGCCCTCCACAGGCTGCACGGTGTCTGAATCTGGCACTGGGCCTCACACATCTACACTGACCTGTGTGTCCAGTGTCGTACTTCACACAGGGACAGGCAGCTATGTGGGCACCCAGCTGGGATGCCACCTCTCCCATGGGCCAGGTCTGCAGCATGAGCACCAGCATCTGGGCTGCCCCTGCCCACCACTGCAAAGTCCCATAGTGACCACAGCTTTACAACAACTGTCCACATCTGGCAGGCAAACCCTCCTATGCTGTCCTTTTTGGAGCATATTTTAGAAGCCTTCACCTACACGTGGATATGAATTTTGGAATTAGCCTGTGAAGTGCCACACAAAAGAAAACTCTTGAAATGTCAACGTAGCGTGGGAAGATGGTTTTATGACGTCCGCCCAGCACAAGTGAGAAAACTGTGCCTGGCCATCCCCAGGTAACAGCAAGTCCTACCTGGAAGGAGATCTGACCACATCAGGGCTGCCAATCACAGTCTGGGCCTCTGGATCCCACTATCTAATGTCAGACACATCACTTTTCCAGTCCTTTATAAAATATGTTTATATCCAAATCCAGTTTTCAAGCCAAGCTTAGTGAGCAGTATAATGCTGTGAAACGCCTACTGGTGGAGACCCTACCTTGGATGAGCGGAATGTAGCGAGCCAGGAGCTTGGCCCTTTTCTTCTCATACCCTTTTTGAGTGATGTCACCTAAAACAACAAGGGAAAAGATAATTACATTTCTTCTACACCTTAAATTTTTTTACTAAAAATTGACATATAATTGAAAAACTGGACCCCATGTTAGCATCTTCCAAGTGGGAGGGTGGCTCGGTCCACAGGTGGATCACTCAGCCAAAGCAGCAACACTGGTGGCACGCACAGCCACATGGACAGGCCTTGTGCTCAAAGGCTGCACACCAGCTACTCCACGCACATGGCCCTGGAAGGCCAAACCACAAGGCTGGAGTAGACAGGGCTGCCCGTGCTCGGAGGGGGGAAGGACTTCATCAGAGGACAGGACAGCTGGGTGGTGGAATTGTCCTACAGCCCAACTGTGGTGGTGGTTACACAATTGTAAGCATCTGTCAAAAACTCAGAACCATAAGCCAGGAAGGGCAGATTTTATTATAGGTAAAAATACTTGAATTTTTAAAAATTGTGAGCAGCATCCCTTGGGAGCTAGTCAAAAATGCAGACTGGGGCCATACCCCAAATCGACAGTATTCCCTACGACATTCACCAAACTCCTTACATAATTTTCGTGCATGTTCCAGTTTTAGAAGAATCGGAAAAAGGGGCCCACAGGACACGGACCCCCCCAGGCCAACCAGCATCCCTGGGTGAGAGCCTGGGAAAAAGGACTGATGCTCCAATAAATTCCCACAGAGCAGAATAGGCTGAGAGCACATTAAGCCACCCAAGAGTGAGAGAGGTAACAGGTCTTCAAGGAAACCCAGTTTGTTTGTTTGTGGTGTGGTGCTGGGGATCCAAACCAGGGCCTCATACATGTGAGGCGACACCCCAGCCCATGGGAACACTCTTGATCTAAGCTGCTATTTGGTTCCTACACAAAACTAGAAACGCTAACAGTGGATCTTCAATGTTTTTCTGTAGACTTTCTTTAGGCCAAAAATGCATATTATAACAAATTTACAACCAGCTTTAAGTACAACTGCATATTAGTACCACCTCCACTGCTACTATTCTTCAAATTTTCAGTGTTTGGTAAGCATTCCTCCACTCGCTTCCATCTACCATCCCTCCCTAGACAACACGAGCAGTGAGGGTAGTCAGAAGACAGGGGCTGCTGTCATTCACTGAGTGCTTACCCAAGTATTTCCTTCAGATGAATTCTTGAATTTACCTTGACTATAGGGTGTGCTTGCCCATATCTAAGCTGAGCCTCATTGGGAACTCTGGGTGCACACTAATATGCAGAAGAGGAGCCTGAGGCCTTGGAAAGCCAGGACTGCGGCACAGCCCAGCAGCTGCTCAGGTTCAGGCTGGGCTGCCACAAGCCCTTCCCACTACGCAGCCCAGCCTCCTCCAGAGCCCACTGAGGACAGCAGCCCACACAGCTGGGCCCTCCCCACAGCTCTCCTGTGTCTCCACTCTCCCTTGATGCACACCAAAAACGTTTGAGGCTCTTGGTTAATGCAGACAAGGATTCTGTTGGCTCAAGACTATAAGAAAGGATAACAGAAAGATGTACACATGGTTCTTTAAAATAGCCACAGTCGACATGCTCAAGAACTTAAACAAAAAACATTACAGAGATAAACTGAGGAAGACCCAAGGAAATGCACAGATATGCCACTTTCATGAATCTGAAAACTCAAAACTGCAAGGACGTCATTTCTCTACCAAAGGATCTTCAGTCAGTCCAATCAAAAGTCTTACAGGTTTTATACATGAAAACGGACAAGCTCAGGGGGATCCAACATGGCGGCCGGCGAGCAAGCAGCATTTTCTATACCTCCGCAGTAACAGGATCAGAGAGACACATAAATACACTTGCATGGGACCTGCTGAAGATCTTCTAACAATATTCCACGGGAAGGAGACCTGCCGATAACTAGTAAGTCTGTGTGAGGGGTCAGTTTGTCCCAGGCGACTGAATCTCGGCAAC